TCTTGTTCTTCTCATATCACGAAATGATGGATTCGCCTGCCAACCAGTCAGTGCAACATGAAATACGTGAACTGTGGTAAGAGGTACACTTTTATGAAAAGATGGTCTTTTCTGTTTGTATTTCCACCCTGAGCAGGAGTGACTGCCTTGGTTTTTATTTTTTAAAGATATGATAAGCTGAAGCCCTCCCCCCCCCCGCAATCTTTGTAGCAGCTTATGAAAAACAATAACACCAAAGATGTATATGCATAGAGCTATCATGCAAATCAACTTCTGTTTTTAACATTAACACACTCTAAGTTTGGCAATACTTTAATTCTCTAAAAAGTGCTATGGTAGTTGACCACGTTTTGAAATTGCCTTTGTCTTGTTTGATACTTGAAAGGCATGAAAAATTTCCCTCCACTTCCTCGCCCTCTCCCAGGGGTCATTTCCCCCCTCTCTTTTCTTTGCCCTGCTTGCCCTCTGACCTTGCCTAGCTCCGCTGTTTCCACGGACTTCTGAATCTAATTAATGTCTTAGTGGCTATATAAATGAATTATGTAGCCAGGAGGATGTTGGAAACTTTGAAGAAAGTGCATTCCTTAGGGAAAACCTGGTTTTCTTAAAAAAAAAAAAAATAATGGAATGCACATTTCCAGGTGGTAGGATGTGAGTACTGTGTAAAACCTCAGTCGTACACTCACACTCGATAAATATACGTTGTCTGACAACAGACAAAACCTTAGAAGCATCCGATTTGACATCTGGGCAATTCTCAGCCATTGTGGAAGGTGGCTGAGGGGAACATATATGTTGCCATCCCAAACTGGCTTCAGCCACCTGACTAGGGTATTGGCTCCCCCTTCCCTTTTCCAGTCAATTTACAACCGTTCGCAGGGAGTATGCTCTCAGAGGATCTCTGAAATGGCCCTGGCTGTTCGTGGCCCAGAATATTCTACAAAACTCTGGACAGCAGGAAAGTAAGGAGGAAGGGCCATAGTGGAGTTCTTAACTAGAGGGTACTGTCAGGGAGCCCAAGGCAGAGATGGTCCCTATGCCCCATGTTTCCATGGAAACATAGGAGGAGTGATGACAGCCAGCACAGCCGCACCATCTGCTCAGGACCTGGAGAATAAGGGGGAAAAATAGAAAGGTACCTTGGATCCCTGGCTAGAGCCACCTCTGAGCTACCTATGAAGAGGAAAGGAAAGGCCTGAGGACACTGGAGCTCTGGGCTAGATTTAAAAATCTATTCTGTCCTGGGGCTTGATATATTAACATCTAATTTGCAAGCAGAAAGCCTGGAGGGGTTATTTGCAAACCCTAGATATAGTTACAAATACCCTGGAAGCCTCTGGAAGGAGAAGCTGACTGAGTGAGGTATCTGCAGCTTCCCTGGACGAGGAAAGACTGGTGTTGTGAGAAGTGATGGGAGAGGAGAGGGAGGACCGGCTGGAGCGCTTGAGGAGGCTCCCGTTATCTTCAAGGAAGGCCATCCACAGACCTAGCTCGTTTCCAGAGGAATGGCAGGATTATGATGACGATGATAATGATGTTGATGATGGTGTGTGTGTGTGTGTGTGTGTGTGAGAGAGAGAGAGAGAGAGAGAGGGAGAGAGAGAGAGAGAGAGAGAGAGAGATTTTGATTGTACTGCTTCCCCAAAGCCATCTCTGAGTTCCAGTCATGTCTTGAAAATGTCATGAATTGATAATGTTAGGCCAAGTTTCTCTTGGTTCTTAAGCAAGGAAAGCTCAGGGAGGTGCCATAGATTTGCCTCTAGGTGCATACAAGAGGCTTCTAGTTCCAGGGGAGCAGGATGAGGATGAAGTCCTTGCCAACAGCATGTGTGTGCACTGTGTTGAGCAGGATCCATTTCTTACTCGCGTTATTTTGTGGATTTAGCACAAATCAGCCAACCAAAAAGCCAGTCAGCCTTCCAGGGTGGGAAACCCGGCAGTCCTTTCTCAGTGGCCCTCTCCTATGCGGGTGGTTCCCTTCAACTCCCAGTAGGACAAGTTGCTTCTCCCTCAGGAGAAAAGCCCCTTGGGTCTTCAGGATATACAAAGGCTACAACAGTTTCAATTATTGTTATTATTATTATTAAATTTAGGCAGTCTCTTGCTTTCCAAAATAACAAAAACAAACATGACAAAACCCAAGCAAAGAAAAGCCCCCAAACCTTCGAACAAAACAAAAACCCATCAAAACTCCAAACCAAATGCAGCAGCAGTAGCAACAACAACAACAACAACTCACTAAATCCAACCCCCTTGACCTTTCGTTCCGGCATTCCAATTCTAGAGTGTACCAGCATCTCACATCTTTTCTCTCCCTTCCCCCTTTCCTTCCCTACCTTTTTGTCTTCTTTGTCTCAAGGTTTAAATTTTGACTAGTCTAGGTGCTTGATTTGGTTCAGACACTCAACAGCTCCATAAAGAATAAAATAGTAAATTCTTCCAATCAAGAGTCTCATTAACCCGTCTATATTTTACTAGGGAAAAGTATTCATTTTCAATTTATTTCCATCATAGCGTAGGCAAAAAAAACAACAACAACAACAACAAAAAAAAACAGTATGTATAACAACATTTTGGGCTTCTTCCAAAGCCCCCATTCTCCAAGTGGGTTCTATTCACAGAAACATCCACCGGAAATAAAATACTAATGCATCTGTCCTCCAGTTAAAGTTCCCAAACAGAAAATACATTATTTGTGAAGAAACATTTAAAACGTACCCACAGTGAAATTACTTTAGGCTCAAGTACACTTAAATGTAAACATCGGGCCCCAGAGTTGAAATTCAAATATACATCTGTCAGTTGCTACATAGCTTTTTTTGGAGAGACCTTTTATGAATAAATCTCCTTTCCAGGCTCTAAACCCTCTTACTTTCTTGCCTTTTCTGGGACCTATTTATCTTCAGTGACTGCGAGGAAGCTTGAATCTGTATCCTGAACCTCTAGCACGGCATGGGACCCGCAGTAAACATGGTTCTGTTTGTTCTTCAGCGGCCTCTTTTGTATAAACAGATGTGGTGGGAAGGGAAGGGAAGCCAGATCCCTGTGAGGGGCGGAGGTCTCCTTTCTGGAGAAGACTCCCAGCTGCAGCCAGGAGCCCAAGGAACAGGACACATTTCTTGTTCAGGCCTTGGAACTTGCAGTTCTTCCAGACAGGGGCCGTTCCCCTCTCGCTCTCCTCCACCCTCCATCCCCAGCCTTTGTTCCTGGGAAGGCTGTCTCCATGTGATGTCTATAGCTCACTTTTGCCAGAGCAAACATTTCCAAGAGGGCTTATGCTAAGTAGGTATCTGTAAGGCAGATTTTCCCCCTTTTCTCCAAATACACTCTAGACTAAGATTTTGGACTCCAGCCCTTCACACCTGTACTTTTTCCTATATTCATATTCCCTTTGTTCTTTTGTACCCTTCGACTAAACGGGGGAGGGGGGTAAAGGAGGGAAGTTGTTGGCTTGTAAAATAACAATTCCATTCCTCCGGACTCATTTGATGCAGACTCTGCCTTCATTTAGAAACGATTGATATTTTCGCATTCTTTCTGGATGTTAATAAAAGAAGAACTATTTATTCCAAAGCTGGGGGGAAAAAAGGATAGGACCGAAAGCTTTGTGGTCCAGTTTCAGACAGGAAAGAACTCGAAGTGGCCTTTTGACTTTCTATCTGTGACCAGAACTTCGTTAATTCTCCTTCAGGTGTGGGTGAAGTCAAGAAGGGGTGCTCCTAGGTTGATTTCTATCAAAGGGGCTAAATTTTTTGGCGGCCCCACACGGTGGCTCTTCTTGTCTAGAAAAGGAACAAAGGGCGACACACTGCAAAAGCCTCCCGAAGCATGCGGGTTTGGTGTAAGCAGTGAGCTTTACTTAGTGCCGCTCTCTCCAGGAATTCTGGGGAATCCGGAACCCAGAAGCTGTAGCCAAGAGCAGGGGAGAGCCGCCCCCCCCCCCGCGCCCCCGCATGGATTCCTCATTTTAGAGCAGAAGCGTAGAGTTGACTATGGATTCTCTCTACATTTACACTTCCCACTCTCAAAGTGTATATAATAATGAGCGAGAGGGGAACATTCTTTCAAACCAAGGGAGTAATAATAGCAAGGGCTTGATTTTTTTTTTTTTATAAGCCACAGTGGTACTTTATCATCCTTCCAGCTGACAATCTGCCACTCTGCAGACAGGAGAGGCGGCGGGAAGTTTGTAGTGGAAACCCAGAGGCCTTTCCAGTATGAAATAAAAAGAAAGGAGGCTGGTTTCCAGGGACCGGCCAGCTGAGAAGTAGCGGGATACCCTGCTCTTCCCCCAACACCCCCGAGGCCAAACTGCAGCTGAGAGCAGGTCTTCTTGGAAGAAGCTTCCTTCCCGCTTCCTCTTTTATTTCACTTAAGTTACTGGCTCCAGATATTTGAAACGATTTGTTTTCGGCGCTGCCGTGGGCGGCACAGTTAACTCTCACCGCGCCTGGGGCGGCCAGGGCATTTCCTTCCCAGCATCCATTCACCCCAGGTCTGCAAAGCTGCACACCACTCGAGGCAGCGCCCCGCCGGTTCCGCTTAATTCGCGAAGGCCAAGGAAGTACTCGCAGGACCCAGGGCGAGGGCGAGAGGCAAGCGGCTGCGGCAGGCCGGCCCCGGCTCCACTGAGCATCTCTCCTCGCCGTCCCCTCCCTCTCGCAGGACGTCCCCTGCAACCTTTGGGGCTGCCGAGGGTCATGAGAGATGGAGGGGCGCGGATGAGGGCGAGCCGGAGGCCGGCGGTAGGGCAAGAGAGAGGGCGCGGGACCCCCAGGAGCCGCACGGGGAGCGCGGGGAGCGCAGGGGCGCGCGGGGCGGGCGCGGCGCGGGGCTCACGACGCGCGCGCGCCTCGGCCTCGCCCGCGCACACGCGCCTCCCGGAGGAGAAAGAGGCGGGCGGGCGCAGAGCACCGCGCCGGCGGCTGCAGCGGGCCGGGCCGCCGCGAGGGAGGGGCGGAGGGGCGGAGGGGCTGAGGGGCGGGCGCAGGCCGGGAGGGGGCGGCGGCGCGTCGAGCTCACGTCTCTCAGCGAGTGTGCCTGCGCGCGAGCCGGCGAGCGGGTGAGTGCGCCGGCCGCTGCCACACGCCGGGCCGGCCGGGAGTCGGGGGCCGCGGGGGTGCCGGGCGCTGCGAGCCGGGGAAGGGTGGCGGGCGGGCGGCGGCGGCTCGGGCGCGGCCGGGATGCACCTTAGCGGGCGCCTTTCGTTGCAGCGCGCGGGCGGCCCGAGCCTTGGCGGTGGTAGCGGCGGCGGACACAGCAGCGGCTGCGGCGGCGGTGCTGACACCTCCCACCATGGACAGCTTCGACTTAGCCCTGCTCCAGGAATGGGACCTCGAGTCGCTGTGGTAAGTCCCGGTGCTGGATGCTCGGAGAGCCGCGGCGGCCCCGCGCGCCCTCACCTGGGCCGGGACGCCGGGTGCCCGCCGCCGTGGGGGTGGGGTGGGTCGGGGGCGCCCGCCTAGCCGGCTCCTTGCAGCCTTGGCGGGCTGGATGCACGGCCGCCTTCCCGTCAATTTGTCGGTCTCCCTCCCTGTTCCCTCCCCTCGGTGCTGCCTGCGCCAGCTCAAGGGGCCGGTGGTCTGGGTGCCAGAGGAGGAGCGCAGGGGTGGAGGGAAAAAGAAGCGATTTTTAGAACGTGTCACTGATGCCCAAGAACCCGTCCCTCATCCCGCAGCCCCTCTCAGCTCCTTTCCTTTGGATTGTGCTCCTTCCAGCTCTCTGAGAACCTCAGGCTCACCCCTGTGACCCCCTAGAGTTGGTACCGCTGCGAAGTGCTTTGAGAGGATGCTCTCTAGCCTGTTCCCTGCATGCCCCGAGTCTTGGCGCCTGCATCCTCCCTCCGTTCGCCCTACCCACTCCCACTCGAGATGGAAAAGTGAACACCCGGGGCAGGAGGCCAGTGTGTCTCCGTACCCGAATTCCAGAGGCCTTGGCCCAGGGAGACTCGTTTCCCGGAGATTCACAATCCCTTTGCACCTTTTCTTCACACCTTCCCAGGACTGAACTCCTCATCACTCCTCACCCCTGTCCCTTTTTGTCAAGCTCAAAGCCAGCAGCCTGGAATGCACTTGGGGTCCTGATTCTTGGAATGCTCACACTGGGGAGCTTCTGTAGGTAAATCACAGGTAGAAGCAACTGAATTCCAGTTGCAGTTGTCTGAAAAAAAAAATCCCATTGGCTGCTTCAGCATCCCTCACATTGCCCCCCACCCTCTTAAATGTTTCCAACCAGCCCTATTCAGGTGGTAAAATTACTGCTTGTATATTCCTGGAGGAACTTGTGTTATGTTTAATATTTACGGGAATGAACATCTGCTGGAACAAGCGTATTAACTGCTCTCTGTTCTGCCTCTGGTAATCGCTGATTGTGGAGCGGTTTCCTTTTTAATTCAGTAAAGAGTTCACATGTGTCTAAAACTGCAAGTGGTGTGCACATGAATATGCAGTGCACAATTTTAAAGCTAAACTGCTTTATGATTTATGGCTCATACATCGATGGTATGTGGCCATGTGGCTCTTTTCAGTGATTTAGGCTCGCAGTGACTTTTATTTTCCTAAAGACAGGTGTGACAAAATCAACTAGACACAAAGCTTGCGCATTATCGGGCCGTTTCTTATAAAAGATCCGATGGTGACTCCAGCTTGCTCTACATAATGCTAGCGCCTATAAAACACACGAGGATGGGCTCTAATGCAATAAAACTTGTATATATTACACTGGCAACTTCAAAGAGCTAGTGTAGAGAGAATATGGAACATGTTATTACTCTATAAAAGTTGCTAATTACTGTGTTGCTGTTCCTGGGGTTATTTCAGCCTTTCATTTACAGATAGCTATTATTTTACAGGTTTACCTTTTGAAATGTTGGTTTCTGGCACGAATTCAATAGCTTTCCAGATAACAACTGTCTTTTAAAGACGACAAAGACGACTTTTGCTTTTTTAAAATCTAGGCAGGCTTGTAGTCAAAGGGAAGAACTTAACTGTTTTGAGATACTTTTTTTTTTTTTTTTTTTTTTTGCTGCTCACCCGTTTTCTGGTACAAATTGAACTCCCGTAGGTGTTTATAAGTTGTATTTTGAGATGATCAGTGATAACCCGTAGACCTTTTGGGGTGAGGGCTCGAGCTGTGTCTTTCAGTCCCCGGCAAATGACCCAGAACTCTGTCACAGAATTTCTGCTGAATTGACCAGAACTTTATCTCATCTAAATTGTTGTTATTTATTTGTTTTTTCTTTATTTTGATTTATTTTGAGACGCGATCTCTCAACGTAGCCCAGGCTGTCTTGGAACTTGCTTTGTAGAATGGGCTGGCCTTGAACTACACAGGTCAGTTTACCTGTTTCACTAGTGTTAGCATTAAAGGCATATACCACCACTTGAAAGCACGGGTAAAGCTGTTGTCCACTCCAATATGTATACATTTTTATGACCTGTGAAAGCACGTAGGATGTATTGACTGTTGACAGTAGAACGGTTTGGCTTAAGAGAGTGTTTAATTTTGCGGATATAGAATTTACATTTACAAAAGCTTACCTTCAGGTAAAGTTAAAGATAAGCCAAACTATTTGAGTGTACATTTCAAATGTGTTGGACATTTTCTTAGTTATGGATCACTTTTTGCATGGCATTTCTAACTCAGTTTTAGGATTTATTAAAAATTTTATGTTTATAGTTTACTTTTAAGTTCCCGAGTGATCAAAAATTAAAAAAGTCTTTCTATCTCTCGCTCTCTCCTTCCCTTTCTCCCCCTCCTGTTTGATTTTGAGAGATGGTCTTGGTGTGCAAACCAGGATGGCTTCCAACTCAAGACAATCTTCCTGGCTCAGCCTGCTGAGTTCTGGGGTAATAGACAGGCATCACTCACACCTAGTGTATTTGATTACTTTCTGTGTGTCTGATATTTTCATATTTTCTTGTTTGAATCTGATAATATCTCAAGTGGTAAGTGATAGTACTCTCATTTTGTAGATGAGAAAATAGATTTTAACGGTTTGGTAACTATAGTGAGATAAAAAATGACAGCAGATATTTCAAAACTGATATTTACCAAGCAGTATCACTTATCAGTGACATGTACATCATATGTTTTAGCTCATTTTTTCTTCAACAAGAAACTTGCAAAATAAGTACTGCTGTTGGTCTTTTTCTCTTTTCTTTTTTTTCCAGACAGGGAAATTGAAGATGGAGCGATCAGGTAGCTTGCCCAAGTTCACACAGTTCAGACTTGATTAAGAATTAGCTTGAAGGCCCACTTTTCTGGTATCAATCCTATGCATTTTTCAGAATACTGCAAATTCCAAGTGATGAAGAGAGGCTTTTAAAAGAATTACAAAGTAAGACCTTGACGATTTCAAGTTAAATTTGTGTCAAAATATTAAAAGAGAAGGCCAGAACCTTAGATGGTATTGATCTTAAAAAAAAACAAAACAAAACAAAACAAAAACAACAACAAAAAAAAACCCTGAAAACAGAATACTATGAGTTAGGAACTTATGCCTGTTAATTAACTTGTGAAAAGAGATATAAATTTTAAATAAATACCACTGGGTACTTTCTTTCATCATAGAACCCCCCCCCCAAAGAAACACCTGTCTTTGAAGAGAGGAGTGGCAGGTTAATAGCAAGATACTCTTGTTATCTATTTATATGCTTGTTTGTTTCTTTATTTATTCAGTTTGGTTTTTCCGAGACTGACATTTTCTGTATAACAGCCCTACCTGTCCTGAAACTAGCTCTGTAGAACAGGCTGGCCTCCGAACTCAGAAAGATTCGCCTGCCTCTGCCTTCTGAGTGCTAGGATTAAAGGTGTGTGCCAAACCCCTCCCCCTGGGAAGATACTCTTATTTATTTTGATACATAAACAACTTTTTCTAGTTGGCCAAAATCATCTCATGATGCCTAGGCTCTGCCTGTTTAAAAAAATACACAGTATAGGTAATTTCACTTTGATCACTAAAAAGTAGCTCTTGAGACCTCCTCCCAGCCTTTGTTCAAGATGATACTATGTCAGCTCTCCTCCAAAGGCAACCTTTTAAAAAATATAAAAGTAATAAATAAAAAAGTAATAATAATAATAATGAAAAGACTCAATTTTTGCCTTTGCCTCCTCTACCATCCAGCCTAGTCCCAAAAACAGACTCTTTTGACTCCCTAGTCTAAAACTAGACAACAACATGTACAACCCATGTTTTACCCAACTTTGTACCCACTAGGAGTCACCATGAGATGGTTTGGGCAAATGAGGAAAACTTTCCAAAACCAGCTCATATTTGCTCTTCTCTAAATACAAACACCTTTCATTACTAGGGAGAAAGCCGATCAAGATTGAAATATGAAGTATTAAGAGCTTGCCTATTACTCACGCTGTGTCTTACCCCACAAACTTCATGCAAGCCAGCATCCCTATTCCTCTCTTCACACAGGCACTCCACACCACCTCAAATCCAAACCTCTGACATTGTAACACACAGGGCAGATGGCCCAGCAGTCAACAATGTTTATTGTTCTTCTCATGACCTGAGTTCAGTTCCCAGCACCCACACAAGGTAGCTCATATAACTTTGTATCGGCAGCTCTAGAGGATCCATTGCCTTCTGCATGGGCATTTGCAGCATATACCCGCATAGATACATCCACATAAATAAAACTTAAAAAAGGCAAAAGAAATCGTAATGCATGGGTTGCTTCATATTCATCAGCATGGCCGATCCAGTAGATGTTCACAAAGTAGGCATTACTGCTGGAGAGATACTACAGGCTTTTGAATGTTTTGGACTGAGACCATTGACAAGCAAGTTTAACACTGAAATTGAAACTAAATGTGTACTCTGGTAAACATGAGTACATGTAACTGAAATAGGGGTGCTAGGAGATACCATTTATCCTAAGTGTGATACAGTCTGATATCTTCTAATGTATTTTTTCTTTTTAAAACTTTCTCATTCATGGGTTGAAGCCTGCAATTTGAGACCCCCTTTATAAGGGATACAAAGGAGAGGGTCTTTTAGGAGTTTACATAAGTATCAGAAATACAAAGCAGATAGTGCCCGCTGGAGGGGGCATGGGCACATCCTGTTGAGAGTAAACTATGCATCGCTTCGTGGCGCTGAAATACATCTTGAGGAAGTAGAATTTCAAGGAGGAAATAGAAGGGGAGAGAATCCATGTGGAAGGAATAGTGCAAATAGACATAGGGAGTGTGGTGTTTATTTGAAGAGAAAGCTACTATCTGGGGAAGGATGAGGATACATTGCACTCCTGTCATTGCTGCCGGAGGAGGCAGGAGTAGGCCGCAGCACCATAATGTCTTAAGGGCACTTCCAATGGCCAAGCAATGCTCTTGA